AATAATAATAATAATAATAATAATAATAATAATAACAACAATAAAGCATGTAACCTCATTATTATATAGCAATAGCCTATATAGTAATGATGATAGGCCTACTACTACTCATAATAACAATAATGTCTGCAAGCTCACATTAGAAGTCTGGTGCTACTGCCAGTTATAACAATAGCCTAGTAATGATAATAGGCCTACCTACCGCTACTGATGATGATAATAATAAATAATAATAATAATAATAATAATGTGGGCCTAAAAATAATAGCCTAGGGCTATCTATCTATCTATGCAAGGTGGTGTTTGGGATGTGGGGTGGAGGGGTCCCAACTGCAATGAGCCAGCTTTGGGGGGGACCAGCTTGCACAAGGTTGAGAACCACTGCACTAAATGAACTATTTTGCTTTAATACTGGTGAGAAAAAGGCAATTGACAAAAGAAGATGGATTAACCATTAATCCTTAAGAGTAGATATTTCCTTAAGGGAACTGCAAAAAAGTAAGGCATTGGTGAGTACAGTGTCCTACACCATTAAAAGGCAAACTAGAATAGGTGGGCAACTTGCATAAAGTGACTGGTACTCTAACCAAAAGGGCTACCACAGCATTATATAATGCCATCCAATATCCTCCGGTCTACAACTGGTTGGTTAAGGGTTGACCCTGGAGCAAGATGATGACCCAAAACATACCTCCCATTAATGTCAAAACTGCCTTAGAAGTAAAGAACAGGATGGCAAGTGTCAAATCATGAAATGCAGTCTCCAGACTTAAACCACCATTGAGCTGGTTTGGAAATAACTGGACAGAAGGGTGTTCTAAAACATTTCACTGGTGTATGCACCCAGTAACTTGTAGCACCATCTTAAAATAAATCTAGAATCACATTGTCATAGAATAGTTCTGGCACACTAATTTTGTTTTTGTGCAGCTAGGTCATGCCACAGAATCTCTCCTCCAGTAAATTGGTTCTTCTTTACCATGTAATATTGGAGTTAAACTAGTTTGTGTATGACTTTACTAATATGCAGTACTAGTTCTTTTTCCAAAATGATCACAATTTTTGTATAACAAGGTATTACTTAATTTAGTAGTCTGATAAGTTAAACTTGGACTTGGTGAAGATAGCATACATCTACATTTTCTTCAAACTCTGAGGGGTGTACTCCTTTTTTGTCACATTGTATGTAATATCATGTGTATCCATGTCTATGGCTAAAATTCTCAATTTCTCTAATTGTTCAGGTAAGCCATAGTTTCACAGACTATGGACCAGGCCTGCGCTTCATTTCCTTTGAACATGGGGGCCAGGACACCAGATTCTGGGACGGCTGGTATGGAGTGAGAGTAACAGGAAGTGTTGTCAGAGTGGAGATGGTCTAAGAGGAAGACTACCATATTACTGTGCACTTTAGTGATGCAGGATATTGAAATACTGTTTCCAGGCACAGCTGTACTTTATATGTACTTTATGCATACATCATTAATAAGTAGAAGAAGGAGGCTTTAGAATATATGGACCAGCTAACAGAATTAACCGTATACTCTGAAGTATCAGCTAAGCAAATTGTTATGTATAATTATAGAAAATGTACATTCTATTTCTGACTAATCTGATTATCTTCAATGTCGGGCTTCAAGGACTGGCTGACTTTGCTTTCTTAATAGTACATTGCTTTGAATAAAAGCATCTACCAAATAAGTAAATCTGTATTGTATTATATAAATTATAATCTAAAACACAGTGGTTAGCACAGTTATCAGAAAGAACCTTAGAACAACATAAGCAGTTTGTAGCAGTGTACTGCAGATATGTCCACTATACATTTGCATGAACCATAAATAAACTTCAAAATGTTACATCCTGATACATATTCTTTTTTGTGAACTTCGGCTAAGGTATTTCTTGGAGACCAAGATATTATTTATATTGTTGAAGGAAACTGTTCTTGGTATGTTTTATTTCTTCTTTCTTTGATTTTTGTATAATTTTGAGGGTGTTATTAAATTGGAGAGTGTCTGTCTATTTTGTGTATTGTTTGTTTTGGCTTTGTTCAGTCTGGGGTAATGCCATTTTGTTTTTTATGTATGCATGTATACTCAAGACAATCTGATTTAATCAATAAAACATTGGCTAATTATTTCCCAGTGAGTGTGCAGGTGGCAGTATTGTACTTTCACAAAAATTTGCAAAAACATTGTGTGGGTATGAACCCATTATTATGGAAAGGGATAATAGCTATGTTGTAAGACCCAGGGAAACTTTAGGGGAGCATGGGACAATGTAACAATTGTAGAAGTTTTGCCTAGAAACCTGATCATGATTCTTGCTATCTATTTAGAGAAGGTCATGAGCAGACTTTGGGTCACATGGATTTATTACATTATTTTCCAATGTACAGCCAGCAAATCTCTGTGGAATTCTCCCTGATGACTCATGAATTGCAGTTATGTGAAAAGCAAAATTAATGTCTTCAAATGTGTTGCATGCAATCTGTCAAGTAGAAATTTCTTAGTTACTGCAAAAACCTTTGCTTTGCCAAAGCCTGAACAGAAAAAGATGAAAGTTGAATTGAGGAGAGTTAATTCAAAGACTAGGAATATCCAAGCACTGTGACTTTGGCAGACAGTGTTCATACCATACTTGAATACCATATTGGAAAATGTATTATTTTATAACAAAGAAAAGCTTTATAATGAATATAAATACTCAACAAAAAACATTATTAATCCTTATGGGGAAATTCTCTTTGCACCTGTCCCATAAGACACAGATAGAGGTGAAGGCAAGGGGGGTGCAGGATCACCAGCATGCAGCACCCAGCTGGGAGTTAAGGGCCTTGCCTAAGGACCCACACACATGTGACTTTTCTGCCAAGGTTGGGGTTCAGACTGGCAATCTTCTGAACATAAGCACAGAGGCTTAGCCCACTGAGCTACTCACAATGCATAAAATTATTTATAATGTAATAAATGTGTAAATACACTTTTTTCTTCTGAAAAATGTATCTAAAGGAACTAACATTCTTGTACAACACAGACTTCCTAGTGTTATCACAAGTTCACATTCAGCACCTGTCTTTTTTTTCCTAGTAATCTTTCAAACAAGAGTTTCATGTAGTGTTTAATTAAGGACATAGGCAGAGTAGTGGCTTTGAGGCTAGGGCTCTGTACCAACAATTGGAAGGTTGCTGGTTTGAATCCTGTGAATAAGAACATAAGAACTATACAAATGAGAGGAGGCCATTCAGCCCATCGAGCTCACTTGGGGAGAACTTAACTAATAGCTCAGAGTTGTTAAAATCTTATCTAGCTCTGATTTAAAGGAACCCAAGGATTCAGCTTGCACTACGTTATC